GGATAGGCAGAACAGCAGCAGGGGAGGAGAGAACAAGCGCACACCTGACAAGACCTTCAACCCATCCCCCTTTACCAAGAGGGGGGCGCTTCCTGGTCACCTGATATCAGACAAAATACAGATGATGATCCCTGGTTGGATCCGGCCGATCCGTGCGGAGGAGTTTGGAAAGAAGTATTTTGTCAACACGGAATACACATTGTAACAAATCAGAGATTGTATTTGTTGTTGATGAAATATATTTATCAAACATTATGATTGACACCTGAGCCCCCGTGAGTCACACCGAGGATGTATAATGCACGTCCAATAGACTCTAAGGGGGATGAGTTTGGAAAGAAGAATTTTGTCAACATGGAATACTAATTGTAACAAATCAAAGATTGTATCTGTTGTTGATTGTAGTCACCATCACCTTCTGTGATGTGGCTACTAAGACATTTAGTGATAGCCGGGGCTGTAGTCAGCCTGGCTGGATTTATAGTGGCAATTATCTGGTTAATCCCAGGTATCTGGCATTGCCGGTACCCCCCTGGGCGGAGTGAGACTCTGTCATATTGAGGGACAGCCAATGAGAGGCACTATAGTGTATGTACAGTGCAGCAGCCAATCACTGAGTTTCTCTCTCAGCCAGTGGTGCATGCTGGCATAGGGTACATATACTGGAGGGATTTGCCATGTGCTCAGACTAGGCGGGACCAGCCATGGAATAGGGCTTGGTCCTGTTCAGCCTGCCCCCCAGGCTAGGCCTGGGGGTGGGCATGGGCTGTTGTGAGGGAAAAGGTTTTCCCTGAGGCCTCCAACATGGAAGAGGCCTCTGATGCTGAAAGAGGAAGAGAACCGGGACCAATGCAGGCTCTTGAAGTACCCTGGAACTAAGTGGACTTCAGGAGTATGGTGGGTGCCTTTCCTGCTTGAGGATCTGCATCCATCCTGCCTGTCTGTTAAATCAGTCGCTGTCCGCTGTCTCCCAATTGGATCTTCACTGATGTGCCTATGAAGTCTGGTGTGTCTGGAGCTCCTGCCGGTTACCCCTGCACACCTAGAACCCCTCTACCCTCTCTCCCCAGTGCAGATGTTCAATAAATCGTTTACTTAGCATTATACTATTGGAGTGGACATCAGTTTGTGGGCACTAGAAGAAGGGCGGTTGATGCTAATGGGTGGTCAGCAGAAGATCATACCCTAGACAGACTAGAAGTGAACCGGGCAACCAGCGGCTCCTTTGGGTAGATTCCCAATCTCAACAGCGTATGCTAAGAACAGTGACCAACCGAGAAGAGTGACCAGTCTGCAATTTTATTGCAATTTCGGAAATTTTGGGTGGAGTGGCACTTTAAATCTGACCTCCGGCCTCCCCTTCACTCTTGCACAGTTGTACCGCCTCCTCTCCTGGACTGAAATGGCTTCCTCTGACTTGAGGTGAGCTTCCCACGATGTGCACTCTGCCAGCAACACACTTCCTGTCCTAGGGTGACAACACTCACTCACCCTACTGTATCTCTAGAAGGAGACATCCTAGGACAGGACTGCAGACCACCTCGCCCTCTCCTCTTCCCCACAATGTAGGGAGGGAGCTGTAGTCCACAGAGAGAGCTGGAAACAATGTAACTGATGACACCGGAAGTTATCACTTTACAAGATTTTTAACTGGGTCAACGGGTATAACAAAACACTTTCAATGGTATGTTTAACAGACCAGAAGGGAGCAAATAGGAAACGTCTATTGTCAGGAGTCACATAAACTGAACACATTCTGCAAAGACCGTCCCTGTGGGAATCTCCCATGAAGTTTTTTTCCCGCAGGGTTAATAAATAATAGAAATAGCTGAAACATTTGCTACCCCAAGCCCCCCCCCACCTGGCCGGCCAACAATGCTTTATTGTACAGGGTGGGATGTCTTTCAAGGAGAAGAGATTAAAGATACCTTCCTGCATTTCATTAATACAAGTCTACAATGGGATTAATTAGGACGGGGATTAGGATGAGCGCTCAGGTTTCGGTGGGAGGGGGGGGAGGAAGACAGGAGAAGGGAAGTTGTGACATCTGGACCGGAGGAGATAGAAAGTTATCATTTGATATTGGAATCGCTACATGAGATACAGATCGCGGGCCCTGAGATCTCCATCGATATCTACATCTATGTGGCTGGAACGACGGCCGGTATTCAGCTGTATCTACAGAATGTTGTGTCCATAAACACCCAGAAACAATTTAATTCTCTACCCAGAATTTTCAATTTTGTACACACACACCGGGGTCTGTTTAGTTGGTGAACAATGCCAAAAAAACGAACGTTCCCGATATATATATTTTTTCCAGTTCCAGTGTATTGTGATGTAACATTAGATTATGGCCACTAGATGGAGCTGATGAGCTGTTGTAGATTTTCCTCCACTTCCTGTTAGATGAAACAGCCGTCACCAGGACAGGAAATTAGGGGAAATCTTCCGGAATCCCGGATTTAAATGATGTTTTTTATTTTAAACCCTTTCAACAAATACTTTTGTATAAACACATATCTCAGATCTAGAAGCGGGAAGGTTTTGGAGGGAACGCTCAGAGGGTCCAGAATGAGGACATTTTGCAGAGCCCTTTATATCGGTGATTGTCCGTCCATCGTTGGCAGTACATATGAGATCAGGCAGGATGAGAAGACAGACGGACACAAGTCTCTGCGGTTAGTTTGGTTGATTTTTCTCTAGTGGGTAATTATTAGCCGGGGACGAAATGTTTCTGGAAGGACTTTAATCTTTGCTGTGCGGTCACTCTGCCTTCCTACACAGACAACGCGCCACATCACACACATATTAGGACACGGCCAGGCTGCCAGCTAGAGGATGAGGGGGCCCTAGGCTCGGGCTGGGTGTCTTCAGTCCAGGTGAACACTGCGGGCTGGTTTCAATGTACCGGAGAATTCACAATGTTTTCATTTCCAAAATCACCTAAAATAGGATAATTTGTATGGAGCCAAATTCATGAGTCCATCTGAATCCCACCCGTCAGCTGCTGTCTGGGGGAATAATCTAACAGGAAGTTTAGAGAACCTTCACCAATCACTGGTGGTTCCTTCTGAGAAGATGTCCAACAATTTCCACTAGTACTGCTCAGCTCCACCCCATCCCACCTCCATAACCAAACTCATCTCTTCCCCATCTTATCTCCACAGCCACACTCATCAACTCCCCATCCCATCCCCATAGTCACACTCATCAACTCCCCATCCTATCTCCATAGCCACAATCATCAACTTCCCATCCCCATAGCCACACTCATAAACTCCCCATCCCATCCCCATAGCCAAACTCATCAACTCCTCATCCCATCTCCATAGCCACACTCATCTCTTCCCCATCCCATCCCCATAGCCACACTCATCAACTCCCCATCCCATCCCCATATCCACACTCATCAACTCCTCATCATATTCCCATAGCCACACTCATCAACTCCACATCATATCCCCATAGCCACACTCATCTCTTCCCCATCCCATCCCCATAGCCACACTCATCAACTCCTCATCCCATCTCCATAGCCACACTCATTAACTCCTCATCCCATCTCCATAGCCACACTCTCTTCCCCATCCTATCTCCATAGCCACAATCATCAACTCCCCATCCCATCCCCATAGCCACACTCATAAACTCCCCATCCCATCCCCATAGCCAAACTCATCAACTCCTCATCCCATCTCCATAGCCACACTCATCTCTTCCCCATCCCATCCCCATAGCCACACTCATCAACTCCCCATCCCATCCCCATATCCACACTCATCAACTCCTCATCATATCCCCATAGCTACACTCATCTCTTCCCCATCCCATCCCCATAACCACACTCATCAACTCCTTATCCCATCTCCATAGCCACACTCATCTCCTCCCCATCCCATCTCCATAGCCACACTCATCAACTCCTTATCCCATCTCCATAGCCATACTCATCTCTTCCCCATCCCATCCCCATAACCACACTCATCAACTGCTTATCCCATCTCCATAGCCATACTCATCTCTTCCCCATCCCATCCCCATAACCACACTCATCAACTGCTTATCCCATCTCCATAGCCATACTCATCTCTTCCCCATCCCATCCCCATAACCACACTCATCAACTGCTTATCCCATCTCCATAGCCATACTCATCTCTTCCCCATCCCATCCCCATAACCACACTCATCAACTGCTTATCCCATCTCCATAGCCATACTCATCTCTTCCCCATCCCATCCCCATAACCACACTCATCAACTGCTTATCCCATCTCCATAGCCATACTCATCTCTTCCCCATCCCATCCCCATAACCACACTCATCAACTGCTTATCCCATCTCCATAGCCATACTCATCTCTTCCCCATCCCATCCCCATAACCACACTCATCAACTGCTTATCCCATCTCCATAGCCATACTCATCTCTTCCCCATCCCATCCCCATAACCACACTCATCAACTGCTTATCCCATCTCCATAGCCATACTCATCTCTTCCCCATCCCATCCCCATAGCCAAACTCATCAACTCCTCATCCCATCTCCATAGCCATACTCATCTCTTCCCCATCCCATCTCCATTGCCACACTCATCAACTCCCCATCCCATCTCCATAGCCACACTCATATCTCCTCCCTATCCTATCTCGATTGCCACACTCATCTGCTCCCCATCATATCCCCATAGCCACACTCATCTCCTCC